TAGTGCAAAATGATAAATCCAAGACCCAAATTTAACGAGATACCTTTCAAACTAAGGGGACAGATTCAAATGGATTTAACCACGATGTAGTAATTTAAATGTATCAAAACGTAGAGCATTAATAACGGTTTAACGAATACTTGCGGCTTTTATAATGTCAGTAACTATATGCTAGTAGTGGTGTTTGACGGTAATGGATGTAGCACGATATAATGGTTAAGTCGAGGATTAAGTCGGAAATTTTTCAAGCACGTCAACATCCCTTGTGCAATTGCATTATGCACCTGCATGGGCATAAAATTTGAAAACGGTAATAATACATCTCAATACCTAGTGACCACCAAGACCAACTAATGCGAAATGTAACATTTTATTGAAGTAAAGCAACTTTTCATTGACTCATTTCACTATTAGGGACAGAAAGCAGGGAAACGTCTGCAAAAAGCATGGAAAGAAATTTCCCTATAGGGAAAGGCGGTAACTTTTAAAGAGAGTTTATTTACCCATAGACCGATTAATCTTCTACTTCATTAATATATTGTGTAAGAACTATAATTTCTGTTGTTCTGTTATTTTCTCCTGATACGAATTTATTTTTAAATAAATACCAGGTTCTCACAAAAATTCAAGAAGGCACAGAACTGGCCGAAATGCACCGCCTAACTCTAACACATCGGTTTCTTGATTGCAGGAAGAAATAACTATCAAAATTGACACCGTCAGTTCAATACTGCAAAAAAACACTAAAAATTTATGCGCGAAATTCTAATCTGAGTTCCGATAGATTTTATGCTCTACTTTTTAAGATGGATGGGTTAAACTGGCCCCCAGGATTCACAATCGTAATATTCGTTCAAGCCGCCCTGAGAAAATTCTCCTCCAGGTAAAATTCGCCTCCAGAATATTTCTAACTAATTGTTCCTGATGGATTCACTCACTGAGGATGCATATATGAAATATTTTCCCCTTTAAGAAAATTCATCCCATATCAACTTGATGATTATTGTTCCAATCCACTGGTGGAATGGGCTTTCGGCATGTGAAGGGGGGAATGTCTAAGTAAATTCAAAATTTCTTTAGTACGTATAACTATTGTGTAGCCTTCGGCTAGCTCTAGGAATATTTTACCGCCCTTAGGGTACCTATGAATAAGGGACCGAGCAGGACCCCATTTCTATATCGATTTGACAAGCATTTTTTCGGCCTTTAGCTTTATCCCAACGAAGGCTGAAAACTTCTTTATAAAACCAATCTCTCCAACTACCCCCCTCCCCTATTGATCTAGAAAAAGAGTCGCAGAGTGTCCTAGCAGCTGATCAAATACGTATGCATAATGCAACCAAAAATGTGTGTTTGTCCGGTGTCCGGAATACTTTTAACATGAATAACATAAAAGTATTCAGACTCCCATCTGAAAATTTGCATTTTTCATGATCTATCGAAAGAAAATATTATCATGATCGTTTCACTTCGGGTTTTACCAGATATGGATAGCAACTTTCTTATTTTAAATAGAACACCCTATATTTTATTATATTTTCGGAATCTACATGAAAATCTACGTCGTTTGATACCACATACCACATTTCCTAAAGGTTTTCAAGTTATTCAAAGTTTTTTAAAATTTTTGACATTTGACTGCTTTTCTTTAGCGCCTTGTACCTATAGCTCCGTTGACTTGAATTTCAAAAAGTCTTCCAAAATCTAATATACTGACGTGATGCTACATACGAATGATTTAAATTTGGATCGCCCATCTACAGGGTGTTTTAAAACTAATGGTAAAACTTAATAACTTGAAAGTTGATTTTTCAAATGAAACCTGCCTGATTTTTTGAATTTTCGAAAAAAATTCTATATCTATCAATTATTACATTCCCTATACCTACCTATCTGTTATGCTTTTCGTGTTATTTAAGATCTTCTAAAATTGTGACCGTTGTATGCATAATTTTCTTAGGAGGCCTTGAAATAAACGCGTTAGTAGATGAGATTGTACCATGCTTGGAAACATTACCTAAGGAAAACTACTGGTTTCAACTTGACGAAGGGCAGGCCCATTCTACATAGATTTACGACGAGAGCCCTTCTGTAAAGGTTCACAGCACGGCAATAAACGTTTGGACAGCAGTTTCAACAATAGCTTAATTATTTGTAAATTACTTTCAATTTTTAAACGATAATCTATATTTTTGCAGCAATTAACGAAACTTGCGGTTTAATTTTTTTACGTTCCCAAATACAAACATTAGGGGCAACTACAGTCCCACCTTGAAACTAGTTCAAATTTTTTTATCAATGATTTCGCACTCGTAACGGGGCGTTCAGAATACGCCTCTTTTCGCAAATTTTACTAGGAAAAGCACACGACACTATTTATTATCTCGGCGCGATATTTAGTTCTCGCAACTCTAGACCGAATCAAAAACAGTCAGACTAGATTACCGGATTCAGTGTAATTGTATCAAATACTTTGGGAAAATGACCCCTACTTTTTCACTTTTTGTTATACCAGGATCACAAAAATCCAAGTTGGAAATATTTGACACATTGCTAACGTATTGTAACTTAAGTTTAATTACGCGATTTACTTATGTACAATTAATTGTTAATGAATTTCGTCCTTGATTGATTGATTTTTAATTATTCAGCATTATTCAAATTTATTACATGTAACTATATAACACGAGCGCGCATTATTTATCACTTCGGCAGCGATGTTTGAACGTATTATATTTCACGAAAAGAATGCGTTCATTCCTGATTGCCGTAATCGTTTATCAACTTGATGGCGCCTCGATGTCGGATTAAAAGAAGAACGCTAGAAGATTGACATTGATTGCTCTTCTTACACGTTATGTTCCTTTGAGACGAATTTCTCTAAATAAAGCAAGATGCTCTCGCGTATTATATTCTCTTGAAAAATTCAGCATTACAGAAAAGCAAAAATGAGTACAACTTTTTCCCCCCGATACGAATTTCTATTTAAACATTATTATACCAGGATCAATACAATTCAATAATCCTATCACCGGTTTCCCTCCGATTGATGCATCACAATTTTAGAAGCGCAAGATGTCCATTTATTGATAGATGCCTTCTTGAATATTGTTTCCTTGACACGCATTTTTTAAAAATAAAATAGAATCCCACTCACGTATCATGTTCTCTTATACATATGTCCGGAAAATTCAAAATAACAGAAAAGCAATACGATTTTTTAACAATATTGTTGTACCAGGATTACAGAAATCAAACAACATCATTGATATAGGTACATTTTCTTTGAAAAATTGATATATCAGGATCACAGGAATCAGAATACAGGGTGGAAATTTTGTCTGGAACAATATATTTTTAAAACAACATATTGTAACGTAAATTTAATTTTATTTATTTACAATAACTAACGATACATTTATAGCAGTCTTAAAATGAATTAATTTATAACAGTAATTATTATTTATCGCTTACAACACCAGCACATCGAAGTTGGAACTGTACTGAAATGCAATTTGTTGCTTATTTATGTTCGCAACACTGCTCCTCTCTTAAAGACCGTTGCGTCTCCTCAAGACTGACAACTTCGGTGTGAATTTACCCTGTATACATTTTTTTTTTAATCTTTGTGACATAATTGATAGGTATTATTTAAGTAAAGTCTGAAATAAGGGGGTTCTAGTTTATTTGACTTATAAAGCGCAGTTCTTTTACGAAGAAGTATATTAAACATGATGAGATGTCCGTAGTTACTTACGTCTGCATCCACTTTAAATTCAAATTATAGCCTCCAACATGAGAGAAAATCCAAACCAATTCGAGATCACACCAAATGTGGTTAATCGCCTGATTTTGCAATTAAACCGACAATTGTATTTTTCAAAAATGGATAAGACGACCTAAACCAGTTGCGATAACAGTGGTCCTCAATCAAAAGTGACAATAATATTCAACTAATTATAATTTAAATGTGCTTGAGAAGATTAAACTGTCACACGGGCGCGGATTATATTTTCTTAATACCAACACCAAGAATTTGATATATTATTTTGATCAGAAAAAGGCAAAAAGGCCTAAAATATACGTATATCTTACGTCTGATGATAAAAATTTCGTGTTCCTGTATTCAGTGTAAAGTTTTTGTGCTGAAAAATTGTGCTATGTTCGTGCTAGATTGTGATACCTTTGGATTTGTTGTTCAGCCACTACCAACATCCACACATTTTTACTGATATATGGTTTGTTTCCCTTAATTTGGTTAGTTTTAACCTTGAAGAGTGGTACGATAGTTTGAAATAAGTTGTAGGAATAGATCAAGTGGCTTTGCAAAAAATTATGCGGTAGCGTCGTCTGCTACATCTGGCTACCGTTTGTTCTTGTTTGGTTTTGCGCACCTCATTAGCACTGGCTTCACAGAATAAAAAATTTTTTTAGGAATCCGATAATTTTTTAGATTGTTCTTTGATCATGTTTCTTATGTTTCTCAGTAATTAACGTAAATTGGTCTTCTGGCATCCATTCCCAGTCGACCAGATTTAATTGAAATCTTATACTTCATTCTTTTAATTTCCTTCTCAGGATTGCTACAATTTTATGTTGACCTATCAGCACTTCTATTAAGCATCTACAATGCGAAAGTGCCTATGGCAATTGAAGACGGGGCAGATGCATTAGCATACGTTCGTTCCCCTCATGCAAATTACTTAAATCAAACCAGAAATTATAAATACAAATTTAATAAAGACTCGTGTTTTAACGTGTTTCGCGAAAAGTTATTACAGCTCGCAAACTGTCAACCCAATTTGTACAGGAACGCTGACTAATCGTTTTATTACATTTGCCCTTAAGATTTATGTGATTTTTTGCGCGCAACTTCTGACAAAGGCATTACTTTTCTTGCAGTAATTAAGTGAAACCATTTAAGAAATTGGAAGATTCGATTTTCAGTCCTTTGCGCTTCTTTCTTACTCACTATTAATTAGATTTGTCTTTATTTTCAGAGTCGTCACGAATTGTAGTCCACCCAGAAAAAAATCGGTAAGTTAACACATTCTGAGAGAGAGCTTTTATATACTAATGGAATGAATTAAAGTTTTGTTAACTCATTAATTCTATTTGAAAAGTTTGAAGTGAGTACTGTATATATTATGCCTGTTACAAAGGGATTGAGTCATATCAAAAATCCTTTTTCTCTTTAACTTTTATCCCCATTCGCTTCAATGTTGTCATGTAATATTGCTTTCCTTGAAAATTTTTGTTTTTTTTAGTGCTTCGTCCTTTTCTTATTGGCAAGTTCCATTTATTTGATACTATACTTCTGTACTATTTTGATAGACATTTCAAAATCATTTCTAAATTCGCCTCTAAGTACACATTTGGTTCAGTTTCATAAAAGCTTAATTATTGCTAAGTATCTCCTTATTATGGGGAGTTTCTACTACGAATTTGAATTTCCTTTGATATTCTTGAATATTAAAAGCTTTTCTTGGGACGAGAGCATTATAACACGATAAAAGTCGTCTCGCAAGAAAAGGTACTTTGTTTGCATTTTAGAGGATTATTACTAACTGTGATGCGACATTTGTTAGTAGATGCAATTAAAACATCGATTAAGCTAACAACTATGTTCAAAAGGCTTATTAAAATTTTAAGATGGAGAGCTTTTAACCTTTTCGCTGCTAAATTAAAAATTCGAGTGTAAACAGCCTGTGCTGAATTAAAATTGTACAAAACGTATATTTACGTACGTCGCACTGAGAGAAATCGTCGCGCGTATATATACGTCATCAGCAGATTGATTTGCAGCACCCAGCACGTGCATATACGTGCACAGCAAGGTTGGGAAGTAAAGCTCAATGTATTTTATCGGAGGGGCATCAAAATTTGTTTATTTATTTTTGATTTGATTTTTTTATTTTTTATTTAATTTTTTTATATTTTTTTTATATGAAAAAAAAAAATAATAATAATAAAATAAACCGCAGCCTCCTACTTCGTCAATCCAACGTATTCATCCGCCATCTACTGATTGCCTTATGGATAAAACAATTTATCAAACGTCTGAATAAATAACAAATAACTACTACAACCACAGATTTAAATATACTACAGATGGATCATGAGATAGGCGATTGTGGAAACACAACAAACGTTCCGGTTGCTAGCGCACCTATATGAATTTTATTAAATCGTTTTAGTTTGGGTCTCAGCTTAAAATAATCAGCAGGAGTCTGTATAACGATGGCATAGAAGGTTTTTACTATTGATGGTGCTGAAAAGCAATATGATATGAATTTTTTCTTCGTAATTAAAACAGTGGGTCTTTGTATTGTGTGTTTGTGTTCAATTACGACCTTGTGTGGGCGTATCTGTGACCGTTCTCTCTCCTTTAATTTAAATTAATAAAATCCAAAATCAATTTCTTTCTATAGAATGGTAGTTTCAGTTTCAGCCTGAAAATTAAAATTCTGTAATCAACTACTATCAATCGAAAGTTTTGATATGTCTATACGTTCATTCAAGGCATCGCCAAATGAAATTGAAACCAGGTGTAAAATTCTTGCAGAACAGCTTTTTACAACTACTCGAAAACTTCACTCGTTATCTGTTTGTTTATTTTAACTTAATTTTACTACCCGCATGTCAGTCAGGGAGGTATTGCAGTGGGGTAAAAAATGATCCCTCCCTTTTTGACGGGAATACATCAAATACATGTTTTGAGGCACCAGGAATCCGAATCAAACAAAATCTCGATGATGTATACAGGGTGATTTATATCAAAGTTGTATTTTTTTAAATAGAACTCACCTATATTATTGCATATTTCGATTACTTAGTCAATTTTAGTGTGACTTTATTTACACATGATATCTAAAATGAGTGGCTGAGTCATTTTCAAAAAATAAATGTCCAGTAAAAATTGAAAACGAAGATTCCATAAAACTTAGAAGGCCATGACGCTGCAGTATTACTGATCATCACGTGTGCTTACCTACACACGCCGAACTTTTTTTGTGCTAAAAGAAATCACTGTAAATTTTCAAAATTTCAATCAAAGATATCTTGATTTTGTTTAATGAAACTACCAAGTTTTTTATTGCATCAAATGTAGTATTTGATTACCTTTCTAACGATATAAGCACGCCGTATTTACCTTTTATACATATTTTTGTAATTCAACCATTTCTAATAATACACAAGGTTTGTCGATTTTTAAAGCCTCTCAGTAATTAATAGGCCGTTAAAAGTTAAAACACCTATTCTAATTATAAAACAGGGAGTTATATTTAAAAAAAGTGCAACTTTGATTTAAATCACCCTGTATAATAATTGCAATTTCGTAAATATTTTGGTTGTAGCCTGAAGAGTCCTTCAATATGCCCCGACAATGAATTTTAAATATTCTTTTCAAATCCTAAGTATTTAGTAACCGCGCACTAAGCTGCTGTATTTCGGAGAATTTCATACATATATTTTTTTGTAATAAAACCAAATTTGTGTAGGTTAAACCAAGAAAAATAATCTCTTTCAAATAACTAAATAAAAAATTTAGCGCTAGTATGTATTTGAAAAAAAGTTTATTTGTAATAAAACCTAGCATAATTTGTATAGGTTGTACACAGAAAAAGAAAGTCTTCCGAATAATTTAATAAAAATTTTGCGTTATTGCTATTTAAAAAAAATAGTATGACGTTTACATCCTTTATGCCTAATCTGCCAACCTATGTACGTACATAGGTACATACGCGTTAAAACAGACAGTAAAAATTTGTATTCTTTAAAAGTTGCTTAAAATGATCTAAAACGTTGACGTTTGATGAAATTTTGATACGTCCAAAAACGGTAATCGCAATATAGCCACCCCGCGCTTTTTGACAACCCGTACGGATTTACTACTATCTCAAAATATATCGAAGTACTTTCTTCACTATTTTGTTCCGCATTATCATGCAGCCTTTGAAATTCATTTTTATATACCAAGAACAGAATGGTTCCACGTACATATAGTGGAAATTGTAACGTCTAGTGCGGTACTGCCCCAATATAGGGTCTCAACTGGAATGCGACATTTTCGATCTCACAGAAATTTGGTATCTGCGTCTCTTTAAGAGAAAAATAACGAAACCAAAATTGTTTTTGAAAATTCGAATTTTAACTGCAATTCTGGACCAGACATAGGCCTACGGTAGTTTTTAGCTCATTTTTGCAAAGTAGGATCGATGTCAAAACTCTAATTGCATCTTCATTTGTTCTTATAGAAGCTTTTCATATCACTTTGGCCGGCTGACTGGCTGGCAGCAAATGAGGGCCTGTAGACAATCGCATGTAGAAAGACGAAGAGTGTACGTGTCCATACGGGGTCGTGTAATTAACAACTTTAGGGACGGGGCTACATGATGTGGGGACGGCGACATCTGGGCGCCATCCCCACGCGTGGTTTACTAACGTGGTAATTTTTAGTTTTGCCTATCTTCTTCTACAGTTTTGGTCGAGGTCGAACCCATAATCGCACGTCAAGATACAATTTTACAAGTCGTACGACAAAATCGTATAATGTGAATCTTGAAATATTTGGTTATGGCAACTCGCAAGTCGCAAGAGAAATCGTAATCAAAATCACATAACGTAAATTGCACTTATGAGAATCCCCCATTTACACGCTTCTAACTTGTATTTGAACTGACCACAAATTTTTTTAAAGTTTCGTCAATAAATTACCAGTGGAACGGAGAAGAAAAAATAACTTTTTGTCTCATAGGCACAGCGAAATTTTCCCTTAGAGCCTTGGGCGATTAATTTAACAGCCGCAATTGCAGATATGCTTTGTGCCTCCATCTTTAACAGGGCTGCGCGTGTGGGAAAAACAACCAAATTTAGGAGCTGAAATTTTCAAACAATTACTTCAAAATATTCAGACATTGAGATACTCAAAAAGTACCTAGTGTTTTCACATAACAATAGTTTGAAAACTCTTTCGAATGCAGACATCAATGCTAGGCACCTTGTTTTAATGTAACCCAACAGTTTTTGATACTTTCTATCAGCTAAGCCGTAGAACTCTTTGAGTATTTTTCAATGCGAACACTATAAATGTTAAAAAAATAAGTCAATTTTAACAATGGTGAACTCAAATCAACAATCCCTATAAGTTTTGTTTTTATTTCAGGGACGACCTCCATTGCAAAGGCTTTGTTGACACCTTTTACTATTTTTGCCACCAAAATTACCTACAGTTACCGTTGTCTCCACAAAAACCCCACAACTTTTGATTTTAAATCATTTAATGTTAATATACTTCCTTACAATATTCAACGATTATATCCGATTGGGATCCAAACACCAAGATTTGAATTTGCGCGTCCTTCTGTGGTCAAAAATAATGGACCAAGACGAGAAACAATTTTGTAGAGCCATGGTTTGAGGCAAAACCATGTTTTCTAGAAATAAAACCCTGTTGTGATTGTCGTGGACAACCAGCATATATAAGGAAAAAAATCATTAATCCGCATGTGAGCAAAGGCGAAGAGTGCATTTTCAAATTTGTTTTTTCGATTTTAACAGCCCTTATGGACATTTCATGCCTTAATGAGAATACAAAAATAAAATAACAAACAGACAGACAGGTAGACATATCAAGAGCGCCAAAGTGTGAACATTTTATTTTTTTAAGGTGAAAGTGTACTAAAAACGGAACTGTCACGTTCAAAACGGGACGTTTGGTCACATCTCACATTCGACTCATATTCGCTTACTTGACTTAAATTCTCAGACGCCTATTGTTAGGTACCTATGTTGTTTCTCACAAAGACAGGCCTAACACCTTCTCTGATTAATTAATAAAAACTTCGTCTACGTCATAATTGTGCTTTTAGATCGTCTTATCATTAAAAATACTATAAAAATCTAAATACGAGCACGGAACACGCCAAGCTGTGATCAGAGATGTAGGCATTATAACCTAAATCGCACAAAATACCGTACCTACTTATAATAAAAAATAAATCAATTATACGGTAAACATCCTGC